GTGAAATTGTCTTCCTTATGTGTGCCCGAGACCGCAGCCCCCCCCCCCCCCCACACACACACACACCTTCTCACGCGCTCTCTTGCACTCTCCTCCCTCTTGCTTTCATCGCCTCAGAGAGTCACTGTGGAATAGTTGCACAGGAGACATGCTGTTATTTTGGAAAGCTTCTGAGTGCTTAAAAAAGACGGCGCCTCATCCTTGGCCAGACACTTGTACTTGTATTTCCATTAAAGTCTGATCAATCCAGACAACAGAGTGGCCCTGTCAATGGACTCATCCCAGCTGAGTCATTGCTAACTCAGGGCCGAGGCTGCCAGTCTGACTTTGGCCGGCTCAGCATAAAGAAGTTACTTTATTTTAGTTGACAGGAGAGAGACATATTTAAACACAGAAGGCATGGCTGGTAGTCTAACAGGCTGACATACATTTCACTAAATAGTTGCTTAAGAGAGCTTAGTGTTAAGGTGTGCATTTTACAGTTGGGAGATGAGTTTGTATGGAACACAACCTCTGCATGTATAAAGTCCATCCTGTGTTTATTAGCCATCGTTTGTTGGATTTAAGTCATGGCTCTCACTTCAGCTTACAAAAAGAAAAATCCTCTTGAAAACACTTTTCTCTGGGTGAGACTTTGCATTGCGGGGCCCATTTCGGTGTGGACTGATGAACCCCCTTAAATCACTCATAAGACATACCATTGGTTATTCATTGGTCATTTCCATTTTTGGAACGCTATAGGTGGTGTTCAGGTTGAGTGACCTTAAAAAGAGAAACTTGACGGGAGCTGGTTTGTCAGTGCGGCTATGAAATAACCTCTTGGTCTCACAACATCATACCCTTTGTGTTTCATAACATGTTTTTATTAGAGATGCACCAAATGGCAATTTCCTGAGACAAAGTTTCGAAAAGTCGGACCTTCCTTTTCCTGTTTTTCTATCTTATGATAATAATAATAATAACTACAATTGACAGCACTGACAAATAAGTTCTGTACAGTCTCTTCCATGGAAAAGTGGAATTCAATTTTATGTTCATCATAAAACTATGATTATGAAATAACTTCCATTTTCTCCGAAAGGGCAAGTTACAGAACCTCCTCTCCCTGTCACTCAAACAGAACTCAAAAGATCACATGAAAAAAGACCAGCGTCAACCAGGAGATGACATCACAGACGCTGTTCTTGTGGTCACAAAACTTTGTGACAAAAATCAGCAGCTTAAAATCTGATCCTGACTCGCATTAGGTCTATGCTGAGAAATATGAAAAGAATAATCATCTTTGCGCTGGCTTAATACTGTTTAATACCTAACGCACAGTCCTTAAGTGAACAGCCAGTTCTGTCGCTACATGTGTGTCTTAAAGGTGCAGTCGGCGATTTTGGAAAATGTTGATATTTAATGTTGAAAGAAATGTAAAAAGAAAAATGTTAAGGTTTGTCTGATCCCTTGCTCCCACTGCCTTTCTCTTGATACACCCGTGGCCTTTCCCCGGCCTGTTGCTCTCAGGCTGGAATAGTGCTGTGCGGCTCGGCCCGCCTTGGTTTTTGGCAGGTGCCTTTTTGCAACCGGAGGTGAAACGAGACAGTGAAGCTAAGTACACCCTAACGCTGAATAAGGCATTTTATAGGCGACCAAAAATGTCACGATCAACTTTAATGAACTGAAAAAACACACTATTAAAAGGTTGAAGTTCGAAGATGAAAATACCAACAACTCCGGGGTCGTACGGTCCGATCCGCACCTCCATCACACTTGTCCTCCCCGCAGGCAAGGAGACCACCCCACAGCTCTGCAGCTCTGGGAGACGGACTCCCGGTCAGCGGCTGCAGCAACTTGTATTCAGCCAGCACAAACCTCAGAGCCTGGAGTCACAGCTGGCTGGTGGAGCGCTGGGTCTAACCCCGTGTAATGGCAGCAATAGAAAGTGTGCTTCTCTGGTGGGTAGTCGGGTCGGTGTCCTGGGATCAGACCCTCTTTGCTGGGGTTTGCACTGGCTGAATTTAAACTACTGCCAACTGGGCGTAGCTATGTTTCTCAGAGCTGCCGCATGGTCTCCCGGTGGTGGGGAGGACGAGATAAGGGTTACATTTTTGGAGAGCAATTTTCTTGTTCCTTCCACTTTGGATTCAATCCAATAAACAAACAATCAAAAGCCACACGGACCATGGCTGTATTATTGACATCCTCTTCGGCAGCTCTGCTTCTTTCTTCTCTAAACTGAAGGCAGACTGGACGCTATACTGTGACTCACTATTGCCTCTCAAGGAACAAGTGGCAACACAAGACAGGGCAGCACTGATGGTTTGAACTCAAGTTCTGGCCAGATCCTACATATCGCACCTTTTAATATAACACATTTCATGTAAGAAACCAATTGGCAGAAACCAAACTATATCTTGAATAATAACCTGTTTAAAATGTATCACCTCAAATTGAAAATTCTCAGTTTCGGACACACGTCCATTTTCTGGATCAGTTCAATATAAGTAGTTTTGCATCACTGTGAGAAACAAGTCAGATTTCTTAATTTTTTATTTTTCAGATGTGACATTGGCAAATAGTCTGTTCTTGAATTCTGCATTTGAACCACAAAGAAATCTGCAGTTGCTCACCCCTTTAAGGAAATGTTGACACTGGCAACATATTTACCACTTGTCAAAATCACCTAAATTCCCATACAGGGGCCGAGGCAAAATGCAAATTCCACTATACAGATGTGTGATCTCACATGTTACCAGGCCTTGAGCAAACTATGTTCACATGCATTACACGGTAGAGGAAGACAGAATATTTTTCAACGTTCATAGCAAATATATTTGCATAAATTAGTCAGTTGTGCATAAAGACAGAACATCTGTCTCTTTACCTTTTAGTTAATGATTCTGGTTTCATTTATTAAACTCTTCAACGCAGTCATTAATTCATGAGCAGCAATCACTTAGTGTTTTACTTTCCCAGAGTTTGGTGTATTTTGAGGTTAAAGGACTGTTCCACCAAAAGTCTGTTTTCAACATCAAACGCTCGACCCCTGCAGGCTTTGAAGGTGCCTCTGAAAAGTTTGTAGCTTGCGCTTTTGCAATGGCAGGTGCAGTCGACTTGCATTCATGGCTTTTACCGTGGTTTCCACCGCCGACCCAGTTTCAAGACAGAAAAGGTTCATAGACACGTTTCACTCCACTCCTGCAGCATAATCCTTTTCTCCTCTGTCAATTTGTATGTTTGGTCATGCCCTTTTCTCCTTTGTTGAACCGGGTGAAAGAGTTTTGAGATTTTCAAGAAAGGCCAAGAAAAACTGTTCCACGCCGTGTAAAGGATGTTCACTTCAGATGGACTTGTGATGCTCTGCATCAATGTAAACATGCTCAAGTACAGTTCATCCAATATACAGATTCCACAAACATAAGCATCTGCTTGATCCGTCTAACCAGCGTTGAAATTAAAAAAGATGTTTTTTAATGATGGCTTATATCCGTCATTATATCACCCCTCTCTCTCTCTCTCTCTCTCTCTCTCTCTCTCTCTCTCTCTCTCTCTCTCTCTCTCAAAATTCAATTCAACTGACCTTAATGGCCAAAACACAATTGCCATTACATACATTGAATGCAATTGACAAAAAATATATTTAGTAAAGATAATACAGATGACAAATATGATGATTTTAATAACACTAATTATAATAATCAAAACAATAATAATAATACAAGAAGAAGAGAAATACAGTGAATAACAATATCATATAGGAAAATGAAGTAGATAATGAAATAGGTAATCAGCATATGGTACAACTACATCCTATGCTAACCTTTGTTGTGGCAGGAAGTGACATCTCTCTCTTTCAGATTGACATAATAACGGTGAACTGAATATTAACACAACATGAAGACACGCACACACACACACACACACACACACACACACACACACACACACACACACACACACACACACACACACATCTCCACCCTTCACTAACCACAGCATGTACTAGTCGTGCCTGATTCCAGCTGGGCCCACACGTAAGTGACATTTTAAGCGTCGGATCCCACCTAGAAGCGATTTTCTGTGACCAGGCTGTGTGGTCGTCGTTACCTCGAATGACGATTACTGGACTGAACTTCTGTGAAACTACAAGCAGGAAAGCAGGTCTTCTGACAGAAAATACAAGACTTACAGTCCCATGAAATGAAACATTTCTTTTCCTTCTTGGTGCCCTGTTTCTCTGACTACAATTTTCCGCTTTCTGTCGTGATATAGCACATCTACAGGATATGCCAAACATGCACTTTCACCCATTTTATATCAAAATCCGTCACCTTCCTGCTCTGTTATGAAGTCAAACACCATTGCCAATTATATCCTGCTGTTCAGGAGGAATCAAGAGGGGATTGGAAAGTTGTGCTATCCTCATTTCAGCATTTTGTGAGCTTTAGGTTGAAATTTAAAGTCACATTGGCAGTGATTTCCATCCTGGTTGATCTGGCGACGCCTTATTTACACGTGGAATTAAAAAATATGGTTTAATACTACAGGTCCCAGAATACTTGGGGCTTGTGGTTTTGATAAGTGAGGCAATAATTTATTTATATGAAAATCTTTGACGTTGCCACTTTAACGATACTTTGGGACTGGAATGTGTCACTATTTGTCTGGGAAGTTGGGATTTTCTCTTCTTCTTTGATGAAATGATGGTTAATGTGTCAAGTAACTTGCAAAAATCTTGATACTGAACATATTTGCAAAATGTTTATTGACGATGTATTTCATTTGCTTCACTGTCATCACAGTAACATGCAGCCCCTCTGTATTGGTGTCAAATACCAATAAATACCAGGGTCCCTCCTGGGCCTCAACAATAGAGACTGTCTGACCTGATAAAGTTATGAAATAAAAATGAAAAATAGAGACTTAACCGGTAATAATCTTTATGCTCAGTGTTACTTGGTGAAGATTTTGTGACAAAACGTTCAATATCAATACATCTGTGTGTTTCTGTGCAGGTCAGGGCGTCCTGTCAGCTTCATGGTGGTCCTCAACACTCCCAGCCCCCTTAGCAAGATCTCCTGGGTCAACCGTCTGCACTTGGCCAAGATCGCACAACGTAAGAACACACACACACACGCACACGCACACACACACACACAGTCATGTTTTCATGATTCAAATGTAATGATTTACATTATGGGGATGTGCATTTCGTCCCCAAAAGGAAAGCGAGTCCCCACAATGGGACTGTATGAACAGATTTATGTCCTCACAAGACAGGTAAAACACACCCCACACACACACGGGTGTACACACACAGAAAGGATTACGATGCCATTTCTATTTAAACAGGATGATGTAATGCAATGAAATGTAATAACAATGCTTTAAGTCAGAGGCTCAGACACATCATCAGTGTTTGGTTCACTCACCATTGGCTAAGTGCACAACTGGAATTACAACTTATATAATCAGTGAAAAACCGAGACTCAACTGGGTCATCTGAAGTTTATGTGCTGTGGAAAGAGGCAAACTTTTTAAACAATGTTACATTTATAAATGAATGAATGTTTATTCAGGAGGGGTTGGCTACTAGCGTTAAAACTCCTTTTAAATTCTGTACCACCAGTCCTTTCTAATGTTGAGTCTCCCCCTTCAAATGTTGGATACATCTCATTGATTGTGGAGAATCAGTGGTCAACATTGATGCAGGAAAAGACTGCCCAGATGCTGCCCAGCAGGGAGCAGCACAGTTCTTTTTTTTTTTTGTCTTCCTAACCTATTTCCTATTTCCTCCAACCCTCGCCTTGCTCTGCCCAGACCGTCGCCCACTATGCAGTCTGACCACGCTGTAGTCAGAGGAGGTCTTCCTCTCTGGGGCTTCATCAATGCGTGCTGTCATCCGGTGGCGAATACCGAGGACATTAATCTGCTTATTTGTCCATGATGGCACGCATATTCAACCCACTCACCACTCCAGTCCTCTCCTCCCCATCCTTTCCTACTCCCTACATCGCCTTGAGCGCTCTTCCTTGTCAAACACACTCTATTCTGGGTTTGTTGTGCATGCGGTACGTCTCTCAACACTGCGCTGGAGTGTAGCTCCAATCTGATTATTGTGGCCTCTTAGTTCCCAGAGGCCTTTGCTGTGAGCGTCAGAAACATTCAAGGTTCCAGAGGAGGTTATTGGGGGTGGATTAAAGGACACTGAGGTAAATGTCTCATCTAGATGAGTGGCCAGAGTTATATTTGTTTTCAGTAGCCGAAAAATTGGACGAAGGTCAAGAAGGAGCCTGAAGTGTTTTTTGCTTTGCAAACTTTGTCCTGAGACCTCGCCTCACCTGAATTGTGAGATTCGCCATCCTCTAAAAGAAAAAAGAACACACAACACTGGATTCCTTCCCTCTACTGCTGGCCTACTGTACCTCCACAGTGTGCATGAAGCACACACTACATCTGTAGACTCCAGTAGAGCTCGCTGTACTGTATATGGTCTGTGTTAGAGTGGCATCAAAAACATCAGGCCGAGCACAGAGGATGCTGTGGCTGCAGTGATGCGCAGCATTCCCACATCTTTCCTCGGAGCTCGCACCTTTATCAGCAACACAGCAGGCGTACTGATGAGGACAGTGGCATAGTTATATAGCATGCAGCTCTCCTCCCCTATGGCTGCTGTGTAGACAATAGGTGATGCATTCAAAACCAAATCATGCAGGTTATCCACATGCTGTCGTACGGACGAGGAGCTCCACGCTGCAATACTGTTTACAGAGAACATTGAGGAGGATTGAAAGTATGCCGTTCTAACTCCTTTCGCTCGAAATGCTGAAATAATCAGAATTATTTGGCATTTACTCTGCAAGAAAACACCAAATAAACATTTATTGATCTTACACCTGGAGAAAAGACCCTGAAGACAAGGGATATAATGCTATCAAAATGTAAACATTGCACGTTGTTTTCACTCTCATATTGATTGAGTCTATAATGGGACAACTGTCAGCACAAATCTGTCTTTGTCTGATTTGCTATCCTACAGTCGTGTAGCCTCGAGTGCTTGTCCCAGACACTGTACTCCTGTGTGTTAAGATAAACACAAAATCTTTGCCTTTCTTTGACTTCCGTAAGCTTCAGATCACTCGACTGATCGGGGGAAAATGACACAAGAAAAGGTTGAAAGGTTTTAGGCCTCTGGCCAATACTGCTAACCAGGGCAAGTTACCCTGAGAGAAACAACAGGGAAAGCTTTGATTCCTCCATCACCAGAATGACAAGCAGCTAAGTGTAAGGAGAAGAAGCTTTGAGATGCGAGGATTCAAGTGGCTGTAAAATGAAAGGACGGGGCGCATTAACCCCCTCTGCAGTCAAGACTAGGGATAGGTATCGTAGGATAGTATCGATACTAATACACTTATCGATACTCTCATCGGTTCTTTTTGAGAAAGAAAAGACAGTTTATTAAGAAAATAGTCAACATTGCTTTAATATTCTTGTATGTAAACAAAAAGGTCTTTCCTGAGCAGCAATATAAGAAGATCCTAAATCTTTAGAATACATGTGCAGCTAAACAATTAGCTAAGTGATATTCATACATGAACCTAAACGCTAACGTTACCTGCAGTGGACGAGGATGGACGGCTGCTCGCCAAACAGTGGAAAACTGTGCATTTCTGCAGATTGATGTTCTGCTTGTTCGCCAAATGTTGTGATAGACTGCTGGTGTTCCCTTCCTCACTTGTGAGGGTTTTATTGCATTTGTGACAACGAGAGTTCTCAGCATCTACTGGAGTAAAATGTAGCCGCACTTTTGCTGTCTCACGCTGTACTGAGCCGGTGACGGTGTGTGTAATAATAAAGCACAACAAAGACAGGAAAGAGAGAGAGAGAGGTTTGAGATGAGGAGATTTCACTCCGTAACTACTAAACTACCGATAGCAGGACCGTTAACTCCGGACCTTGTCAAAACCCATTTACTCATTTCCGTTTAAAATCACCTTTCCTGGGTCACTCCTTGTCAAGACATCCAACTGTTAGTCCTTCCACATTGTATCCAGATTGATTGTAGAAAGTCTGGACAATAAAAAAACATTGGATCCAAACCACATTTAATGGTGTTTTGAAATGCCATTCTGATGAGATCTCTACAGATACGTCGCAGTCCGGCCACTCTGATGGCTACAAATCGGATTTGAATGTGTGGAAGTGCTGAGCCGAATCCCTGCTGCTCCTAGCAGAGCGCTATGGAGAACAGCATGTGGGAGAACTACAGTCTGTGGACAGAAACAAAATCTTTGAAGCATTAGTTAAGTATGAGTAAACACTCAATTCATCCTTTATAAAGCATTATATATATTACAAACCAATTATTAAGGAGTTGTAGATGATTAATGAACGCATTTAGATGTATATTATTCATACATTTATAGATATGATTTAGATATGCACTAATGGTTAGGGACTATGTTGATATATGCTTTATAAACGCGTATTAATACTGCAATTCATGGTTAATTCATGACTAATTAAGGTAGTTACTAGTCGTTAGTGAAGTGTTTTGCGTGACCTCATCTAAAGTGAGGACTATCTATGCCTTACAAAGCATTTATAAATGACATTTAAAGGCCAGCAGTGCCTCAAAGCACAGTTTTTCAACAGAAAAGGCAAACAGACACAACACAAAGTGATCAAGAACATATCAATATTTATTGCAAGATGCAAACAATATACTGTTAAATACAAACCTCTCAGCCATTCATTCATGTAAGAAACAAACAAACAAAGACATTCTCCTTCAGGAGAACATGGCTGGATGTAAAACATTTGTAAATATACGACTGGAGCTAACTAGGAGCTTTGCATATTAGTTTACATTTACTTATTTAATTATTCAATGTAAATACGTTCTTAATCATTTACTAACACTTTATAAATGATCTTATTAATCATCTACACCTCCTTAATAATTGGTTTGTAAAATATATAATATTTCATTTACAAATGGGGAATCCATCATTTATAAAGTATGAAAACACAATAATGAAACACATAATAGACGAGCTTATTAATGAAGAAAAAACATTTATAACTGTTATGAACTGCATACTAATGAATTATTAATGTAGGAAAAATGCTTTATAAATGATTAATTAAGTGTTTACATATACTTATACATTTTATATATATATATATATACGTATATATATATTAACTAATGCTTCACAGTGTGTAGTTATATACACTATGAATATAGTGCATGTACTGTATATATAATACATGTATTATAAAGTGTTACCAAATCTCTTCCACTCCGGTTTGAGTTTGTCCGGTGAAAAGGAGTTCTACACTGCGACTCGACAGAGCCATTGTTTCGATGGCAAATGCTTCCCCGTTGGAAAGCAGCGTCAACAGTGTAGCTATAGTTACTGACGCCAACACCGTTGTCAAGGCCACTCATGCAGATAGGTTGTTGATTTCTGGACACACAAAATCCGATCTGATCAAAAACAGTGCTGAGAGTCCGTCTTAAAGACCCGATTTGAGAAACAAATGATATTTACCTGCAACCTGAACCAAGCCTTCGATGATTTCTGTAAGTCAAGCCCAAGACACAGAATAAAGACCATCTTTCAACCAGAAGTAGTAGGAAGTAGTTTCTCAAGTAAAATGAGTAAAATAACTATGTTTGTTACGTAACGTTAAAGTAAGAGTGACATAGAGTTACGTAATTCTTTGGTTGATGCAATTTGCTGCACAACACAAACACAACACACCAGAGGACATGGGACATTAATCACAACATACAGCCAATAACCAAGAACAAAAAAAGAGTTATGAATCTGTCTGCCAAATGTGTTAAAACAGTGTAATGGTAACCACGATTCGGTATTTGATAATTTGGGAGTGGGAATGGGCTGGCTTCAGTGATGCTGGTTTTGTAGTTTCACAATTAGCACAATAGTAAGTCATATCACGTATCCTATATTATACGGCTGCAGCTTTAAAATCCCTGCAGTCCTACCTACACACAACAACATGGAGAGAGATAGTATTATCATATTTCTTTCCCCCAAGGCTCTCAATCCAAGGCATTTCCACATTTACCTTTCTCTCGCATGG